GAGACTGTAGCTCTACTGGTATGTACTTATCAAAAACCATTGCACTATTTTATGTATCTTTGTGTAGTCTACTTGTGTGCCAACTTATTTTGAAATCAAACTAGAACTGTAGAAGGAGTAGCATTTTAAAGGAATTTGACAGAAAATTCTATTTTTAGTAACCACGGCAACACCGTTCATCGAAATTAGAAACCGATGCACTATTCTATGTATCTTAGGGTAGTCTACTTGTGTGCCAAGTTATACTGAAATCAGACCAAAACTGTAGAAGGAATAGCGTTTTTAAAGAATTTCACAGAAAATTCTATTTTTAGTAACCATGGCAACATCCTTCATCGAAATTAGAAACCGATGCACTATTCTATGTATCTTAGTATAGTCTACTTGTGTGCCAAGTTATATTGAAATCAGACCAAAACTGTAGAAGAAGTAGCGTTTTTAAGGAATTTCACAGAAAATTCTATTTTTAGTAACCATGGCAACATCCTTCATCGAAATTAAAAACCGATGCACTATTCTATGTATCTTAGTGTAGTCTACTTGTGTGCCAAGTTATATTGAAATCAAACTAGAACTGTAGAAGGAGTAGCGTTTTTAAAGAATTTCACAGAAAATTCTATTTATAGTAACCATGGCAACACCGTTCATCGAAATTAAAAACCGATGCACTATTCTATGTATCTTAGTGTAGCCTACTTGTGTGCCAAGTAATATTGAAATCAGACCAAAACTAGAAGGAGTGCGTTTTAAAGGAATTTCACAGAAAATTCTATTTTTAGTAACCATGGCAACACCGTTCATCGAAATCAAAAACCGATGCACTATTTTATGTATCTTAGTGTAGTCTACTTGTGTGCCAAGTTATATTGAAATCAGACCAAAACTGTGGAAGAAGTAGCGTTTTAAAGGAATTTCACAGAAAATTCTATTTTTAGTAACCATGGCAACACCGTTCATCGAAATCAAAAACAGATGCACTATTCTATGTATCTTAGTGTAGTCTACTTGTGTGCCAAGTTATATTGAAATCAGACCAAAACTGTGGAAGGAGTAGCGTTTTAAAGGAATTTCACAAAAAATTCTATTTTTAGTAACCATGGCAACACCGTTCATCAAAATTAAAAACCCATGCACTATTCTATGTATCTTAGTGTAGTCTACTTGTGTGCCAAGTTATATTGAAATCAGACTAAAATTGTAGGAGGAGTAGCGTTTTGAAAAATTGTTTACAGACAGACGGACAGACAGACGGACAGACAGACAGACAGACAGACAGACGGACGGACGCCGGACGCATTACTATCGCATAAGCTCTTCTGGTCTCTGACCAGTAGAGCTAAAAACTGCATCCCTGTTCCCTTCATTAAATGACACAAATTGTCTGTTACTGTAACTCTTCACACTACTGCTCTAAATCAATTATGATCAGTCATTATTGCTCTTTTTAAAAAATATGATGACTTTGCATAAAATAAGTATTCCATTATGTACTTCAGATTTTTTTTTATTTTAAGATTTTAAAAAGACTTGTTGGCAACCAAAAGTCCTCCCACTAAGAACATTTTTGAGAGGAAGTCACCATTGCCAGAATCTTTGAGTCACAAGTGCTGACATCACTGATAACTTTCCTGTAGCACAACACCTCTCCAATATTCACACTATGCAAAACTGCTCCATATAACACATATAACCTAATTAGCTCAAAATTATAAAAAGAAGTTCCAATAAACCATGAAATATCCTCTTTCTATTTGAATATACAGTCAAACCTGTTTTAAGAGGCCACTCGTGGGAGAATGACAAATTGGCCACATAAGACAGGTGGCCACTTATTCCAGGTTTCAAACCAATGAATAAAAAAAAAAATGAGACCACGGTTATGTATTTATTTTCACACGTATCCATATCCAATTTAACACATTTAAAAACTTGGGAAATTTTTAAAAGTCAAATGAAATCCCCTTTACATTTCATTTTACATGAATTTCTGAAAGAAATCTGTTATTGTTTTTTTTTTGTGTGTATTGGTAAATTAATTTTACAGCGATAGAATTTGTATACATCACAGGAAATCAAAAAATGTTCTAACTTAGCATTTCCCTGATGCTGTGTTAAGCTTTTTTTTTTTTTTTTAGTTTTTCTAGATATATATTTATTTATATAACATAAAAGGTTAAATGTGAGACTGACCGCTTGACTTGATAACCTCAGGCGAAATTGTAATTAATGTAGCCTATATATTGAGTTAAATATATTATGAAAATATTCAACAACTTACTTTGTATATTAAGAACACCAATAAAAATCTTTTAACAATAAATCCTTTAATCATATTAATTAAATCCTTAAATCCTGATAGAATTCAAATTACACCTGCAATTATTGGTCATTAACTCATTATCAGCTGTTCATGTTTGGCTTCGTATGAGGATACGAGGTCACGTGTCAGACGGAAGTCATGTGACAAAACAGACAAAATGGCCGGTGAAAACAGGCATGTTGAGCGAACGGGACCTAAAAACACTGGCCACTGGCCGCGTTAGACAGGTGGCCGCTTAAATGAGTTAAAATATAGTGAAAAAATGAACGGGCGGGATTGAAACTGGCCGCTCATGAGGAGTGGCCGCTGATTAAGGGTGGCCGTAACAGCAGGTGCGACTGTATATTTCCATGCTCATCATCAATAACTCTTTCACAAATGCCACAAATAGTAAAGAGTAAATGGATATGAGAATGATGTCGAAAGGGCAGTAACTCTGACAAAGAAAATTTTACCCTCTCATAGCTCATCTACAATATTCTGATTAATGATAGTGTGTGGTTATTCAAAATATTGACATAATGTTTGAAAAAGCTATTCAATCAAAAAAACTTGGACATGCTTTATGTATATTGGTAAAAGTTTGACTATTTCTCCACTCCTTAAAGGCATGTAGCTGAGGCCTCTAATGAGTAGAGGCCCATTACTTTAAAGGAATGAAATAGTGACAGATGATATTGATCTGCTTTAAATCCTCTTCAAACACTCAAATCATTTTTAATCAATATAGTTAAGTTAAAGAATTCTTTAAATATTAGAAAGAAATATACATTTAACTTATTAGTATTTTGCCTTTCATTTCACTGTATATTGTAGTAATGTTACGGAGTTAATTATTTCTACATTCCACACATGGATTTACTGTCGACCAGGGAAGGTTGACAGTTGACACTTCCCTTGTGTTCTAGTGTTGACCGGGGACAGGTTGACGGTTGACAGTTGACACTTCCCATGTATTCTTGTGTCGACCGGTGACAGGTTGACGGTTGACAGTTGATACTTCCCTTTTGTTCTAGTGTCGACCGGGGACAGGTCTACAGTTGACAAAATACTTCCCTTGTGTTCTAGTGTCGACCGGGGACAGGTTGAATTAAAGTTGACACTTCCCTTTTGTTCTAGTGTCGACCGGGGACAGGTCTACAGTTGACAGTTGATACTTCCCTTGTGTTCTAGTGTCGACCGGGGACAGGTTGACGGTTGACAGTTGACACTTCCCTTTTGTTCTAGTGTCGACCGGGGACAGGTCGACGGTTGACAGTTGACACTTCCCATGTATTCTTGTGTCGACTGGGGACAGGTTGACGGTTGACAGTTGATACTTCCCTTGTGTTCTAGTGTCGACCGGTGACAGGTCTACAGTTGACAGTTGATACTTCCCATGTGTTCTAGTGTCGACCGGGGACAGGTTGACGGTTGACAGTTGACACTTCCCATGCGCTCTTGTGTCGACCGGGGACAGGTCGACAGTTGACACTTCCCATGTGTTCTAGTGTCGACCGGGGACAGGTCTACAGTTGACAGTTGATACTTCCCTTGTGTTCTAGTGTCGACCGGTGACAGGTCGACGGTTGACAGTTGACACTTCCCATGCGCTCTTGTGTCGACCGGGGACAGGTCGACGGTTGACACTTCCCTTGTGTTCTAGCGTCGACCGGGGACAGGTCGACAGTTGACACTTCCCATGTGTTCTAATGTCGACCGGGGACAGGTCGACGGTTGACAGTTGACACTTTCCATATGTTCGGGGACATTAACCCTAATCACAGTTATAAATGCAAAACTAACCCTAAACACAGCTATTAATGCGAAACTAAACCTAATCACAGCTATTTATGCGAAACTAACCCTAATCAGAGATATTAATGCGAAACTAACCCTATTCATAGTTATTAATGTGAGACTTACCCTAATCACAGCTATTTATGCAACTAAACCTAATCACAGCTATTAATACGAGCCTTACCCTAATCACAGTTATTTATTCGAGACTAACCCTTATCACAGTTATGTATGTGAGACTAACCCTAATCACAGTTATGTATGTGAGACTAAACCTAATCACAGTTATGCATGTGAGACTAACCAACTGTCAACTGTCCCCGATCAACAGTAAATGGTTAAATGTCAACTGTCCCCGGTCAACAGTAGAAATGATTAAATGTAAACTGTCAACTGCCCCCGGTCGACAGTAGAAATGGTTAAATGTCAACTGTCAACTGTCCCCAGTCAGTAGAAATGATTAAATGTCAACTGTCAACTGTCCCCGGTCGACAATAGAAATGATTAAATGTCAACTGTCAACTGCCCCCGGTCGACAGTAGAAATAATTAAATGTCAACTGTCAACTGTCCCCGGTCGACAGTAGAAATGAATAAATGTCAACTGTCAAATGCCCCCGGTCGACAGTAAAAATGGTTAAATGTCAACTGTCAACTGTCCCCGGTCGACAGTAGAGTTGTTTAAATGTCAACTGTCCCCGGTCGACAGTAGAAATGATTAAATGTCAGCTGTCCCCGGTCGACAGTAGAAATGATTAAATGTCAACTGTCAACTGTCCCCAGTTGACAGTAGAACCGAATCACTACTTTCATATATACACAAGCTTCCGCATAGGGACTACATACCCTTATATTGGAGTTGAACCGTTTCTTACTCAAATAAATTAACAGGTGTGACTCACCAATGAGTGGGGATTCACCGACGAGAGGGGAATTACAGGTGGTTCCTAGGTGACAGCCCCTGGGACACACTCCTGTGTACGGGTTACACTCCTCATCATTGGCACAGTTACACGGCCTCTCACACTGTGTCCCCCAAAACCCTATCTGGCACACTGAAGAACAAAGAATCGTTATGCAAATTATGTGTTGTCTATTATGCAGATTATCCTGTTTCCACCTATCGTTGATGCCTTGGCATACTCTACTAACTAGACAGCAATTCCTTAAAGACCCAATTTTTTTACCTTACGGTTACCTGAGGAGGGGGAGTGGTCATAGTAACAGTGGTGCTATTTACCTGGAGACCCCCAATACCCAAGATGTCAAAAATCTGTGTATACGTAGCATTACACAGGAAGTCTGTGTTTGGTAATCAGGGTCAACATTTAGCTGCAGAACTGTAGCTCTCTGCTTGAGAAAATTTGGACAGACAAAGCAGAGAGCTACAGATCCAAGCCTTGTAAAAACCTTCGATTTACGCTGATGATTTTTTGTCGCTAATTAAGGTATTTATTCCGTGTAGTTTAAGCTTTCTCTGGCTTTTAGAATGGTGTCCTAAAATCATTCATATATTTAACTCTTATTTTTGATACTTTATTTACCTTTTAACAGACCGAAACAGTCCTGTATATAACTTTGTAATGTCGGTTTAAAAGAGTTCCCTTTCGACGTCCGTAACCACAAACAGCCATATGTTGGCGTTGAGAGGTAAGTAAATTATCAGGAATTGAAGTTGAATGTATGATTCAATTATTAAATACCATTTAAATTTATTTCAAAGCCAGGGAAAGTATAAAATACAAGAAAAAATACCCGTAGTGAGCGACAAAAAATTGTTGGCGTAAATCAAAGGTTTTTACAACGCTTGGGTCTGTAGCTCTCTGCTTTGTCTGTCCAAATTTTCTCAAGCAGAGAGCTACAGTTCTGCAGGTAGGTCAACATTACGTGTTTTTTTGTCTGGTTTTGAGTGAAACTACGTAAAATAATAATTTTGATATGAAATTTATTTCTAAACTAAACGCATTCATCATCAAGATAATGTTTTGAAGGAAAAAAAATAATAAGATACATGTATATCGTTTTAGAAAATGTTTTCCTTACATAAAAGAAAAAATCACGAGTAAAAACTATAAATCAATAATATTTATCTTTTTTAATCTTCAATAAAAGAAATCACTCGATTAAAAAAAAGTCTGAATACTGAAATAAAAAAAATCATTAATCCACCTATATGTCGTGCATGTGCATTTACCGAGATCGGAATGTTTTTCTTTTCTGGCCAAAAATGTTGTCCAAAATATTCCTATTTTTTTTCTTCGGGTGTTAACAAAATTTTATTGTTAGAAAGATTTCTTTTCAGAAGCGATCACTATTAATTATCTTCACATTTTCATTACGTATATATACAGAGCTAGAGGAAATTCGAGCAATAATTCTAACATCAATTTCTGTACATCGTTCAAATTGTATCCAGAGTACGAAATAAAACAACTTTTAAAATCTATGCTATGCCGTTCATTAGTACTGAATATTTTTCTTATATCCCATTTCTAAAACAATAATTTAAATCGTCGGACCAATTACGGCAAATAGAGCCGGTTTCTGTGGACGCGGTCTTTTTTCTACAGATAACGTGGACGATATACATGTAACACTTACAAGTAACAAACAGCAGTGAAAAGAAAAGAAATATTTTATTATGTCAATGTTTTAATAATTTGCTTTCAATTATTTTTTGAAATAAAATTCAAACATATTGGGAGTTTTCTAACCCGCGTGTATACTATGCGGGTACATGAAAGCGTTTGACGCGTGAACAGGTAATTGTTTTCAAAACATGCAAACTCAGATTATCAGGAAGCACAGGTAGCTGACCTGTCAATCAAATCAAAAGCTATTGTTTTTTTAATGATTGACAGGCGGTATATTATTGATCGTGAATCAGGCAGATTTTGGGGGCGTTAACATAAAATTGGGTGTTTAAATAGCCTGATCATTGTGAATATAAAGTTATTAGAACATAACTATCACACAACTTTTTCCCCTTAAGAGCAGCAATCTTGGAGAATTTTACAGATTATTTTCTGTTTAATTTTAGATTTATCACAACATTCATCCAAACTAGAACCTTTCTTTGCATGAAAATGCAGCATCTGAAACCTAGAATGGTACAATGAAACGAACTTCAATCATCTTTTATGCAGCTAGGATAAATATAGGACATAAAAGTCATTGAAATGAAATCTGCTTCAAAAACTTTAACCTGGGATGCCAACACAGATGGTATTTCTTAAGCTCACCATACTTCATTAAGGTGAGCTATAAGCTGCACATTGAAATTAGACAAATACTGTTAGGGAATGGGTATCTTGAAAAATTTTCCTATTATTCTATTTTCAACAACCACAGCAACTTCATCCAAAACATGGCATCATAATTGATACATCTTATGATGTATTTTAATGTAAACTAACACTGGACTGTATCAAGTTTAATGAAAAAACTCCAACATTAAACATGTAGCTGGAATATCAGTTTGATAATCATTTACAGATAAACAGACCAATGACTAGAGAGGCAGAAGACAGATACCTAACCAATATATGTGTCATATACGCTTACATATACCTAAGCAATATATAAGTGTCATAGTCGCTTACAAGTACCTAACCAATATATAAGTGTCATAGTCGCTAAAACTGTTATCTGCATAAAAACCATGTACATGTACCTGTAAACATTTTATCCATAAAGCAAACATAGGTAATCAGAGATTACAGAGCTCATCTCAAAGAATGTTGTCTTTAAGTAAGGCAAAGTCACACAATTACCCAACAAAAAAGTGTACATCCAAAAATGCAAAATTTCTGCAATTTTGATCTGATACTTTGGAATAGGCCTATATAAAAACTTCAAATTAATTCTTCATCACGAAAATGTGATTAAAACCAGCATCTGAAACAAGTTTGAGAGTTTTCATCCCCTGATCCATCATTTGGGCAAGTTTGGTTTATATAATCCTTAGAGAATCTTGGTAATAGACCTGCACCCATAACTTTTACCTGGTCCATTATCTGGAAAATGTAGCTCAGATTCAGCATCCGAAGCAAGTCTGGTAGTATGCATACTAAGATGTACCATCCATGCAAGTTTGGTCATTATAGGGCTCATAGTATCTTGGAAATGAAACCTACTACAAAAACATTAACCTGTTGACTTATGCGGAAAATGTAAGTCAGATTCAGCATCCGAAGCAAGCCTGGTAGTGTGCATCCTTAGATGTATCATCCATGCAAGTTTGGTCAACATAGGGCTTATAGTTACTTGGAAATGAGACCTGCACCAAAAACATTACCCTGTTCACCCATGCAGAAAATGTAGGTCAGATTCAGCATCCGAAGCAAGCCTGGTAGTTTGCATCCTTAGATGTATCATCCATGCAAGTTTGGTCAACACAGGGCTTATAGTTCTTTGTAAATGAGACCTACACCAAAAACTGCACCAAAAATGTTAACCTGCTCCAAAAACATTAACCTGGTCATTCCTTTGCTGAAATTGCAGCATCTGAAACTTTGAGTGGTACAATGAAACACATTAGAAGCATCTTCCATGCATGTCTAATCAATATAGGACATAGAAGTACTTAAAAAGAAAACTGGTCCAAAAAACTTAACCTTAACCTGGGTTGCCGATCCCGAGGGTATTATATAAGCTCTCCCAACTTCGTTGAGGTGAGCTAAACGGATTCTTACATTCATTATTGCAGGTATATATAAAAAAATTAAATCACATGCATGTATACAGGCTTAAGTTCTATCCCTTTTGACATAATTTTTTACCAAAATATTTCATGCACTTAAATTTTAGAACTTTACCGTAAATTTCAACCTCACAGATGAAGAGAAAGTAAGGGGGATATTTCTTGCGGATAAAAACAGTTGTAGCCCTTCCCCGACAAGAGGTGTCAATCCGGCCAGTTTCAGCGATTTCCTGCGACTGTGTATAACACACTGTGCCTGCACCAACATGCTCAGTTTCTGATAGAACTATATCAAACCCATCCATTTTACTGCGGCTCTTTACTGAACCTGAATAAAAAATACAAATAATAGTAAATCAAAAAATATTTCAATCCCAACCAAATATTTGAGTTTAAACACACAATTAAGGGCAATTCAGATTACTGTCAAAACAGAAAAAACATAAATTTGCTTAAATATCAGAATATCTATTTTACATTAGAAGTATATAGAAATTGCCTAAATGAAGAGTTATTGCCCTTTACAACATTTTTAAGATTGAATAAGCTATTTTAAAAATGAAGAAAATATATGTAAGACTCCAAAGTGCAATGGTCTGTGCCAAAACCTGATGGCTCGACATCTCTTCGGAGCCAAAGTCCAATGGCTTTCAGAAAAATTAACTTGGTAACAACACGTCCGCTACAAATGAAACAGCTAGGTTGCCACATAAATTTTGTTCTGCACATGCGTTTTTCTTTGGCTTGGGGTGCATAGTTTCCACTTAAAGGCAATGCACTAAAGTCTGATATGCCAAGGTCCGATGGTGCAGAGGAACAATCTCAACGTTTATGATGTCACAATAATCTTACATCAATCCTCGACACCATTGTCCTGTATTCAAACTCCATCATTTTGGCATTCATCATCAGATACATTTTTACTGATTTTGCTTATTGCTTTCACCTAACAGAGATACTAAGCTTTGTCCTTGACTGGTTAGGGTAAGTCTAGGGCTGTCACAGTTCCAAAATTTTTCGGGTCGGGTCGGTTCTGATTTTTTTAGGTTCGGTTTCGGGTTTCTCAGGTTGGGTAGGTAATGGAAGAAAAGCTCATGATTTGTATTATTTTCAACAATAAAAAGAATATTTTCATTTAATCTTAGAAATTGCAACATTATAACCAGTTTAAAGTAGCCTCCTGACTAGACAACAATTGTACCAAATTATTTAAATCACCTTATAATGACAATGTACTAACCAATCTCTCGTTTTTGACGCCATTTTTATAGTAAAATCTACTCTTTCATACAAATCGGAACCGACCCGAATTCCGGAAAAACAGAACCGTACCCGACCCGAATTAATTGTTCCGCGGTTCCGGGTCATTTCGGGTACCCGTGACAGCCCTAGGTAAGTCCTGGAACATTTGTGTTACTTCAAACCAATCTGAGAAATTTAGCATTAGTTCTCTCACACTGTTTGACTGATTTGGGTTATTCCAGCACTCACCATAGATATTAAGGGTAATGTTAATATACCGATAAGAGTAAGTCTAACACCTATCCGAAAGATGAGGGTTAGTCTTTGCAATTAATGATTTAAAACAATCAGGCCTTGGCATGGTGCAGCATTGCATTTTTGTGCATAGTACAATGATGTCATAAATGTTAATTGTTTTCATCATCAAACTTTGGTGTTTCAAACCATCTGGATTTTTTGCAGACCATTGGACTTTGGAGTCCTACATATATATTTTATAAATTCTTTTAATTAACAATGTTTTTCATTACACCTTTTCAAAACCTTTCTCCCAAAAGAAATTTTTCTATTGGATATGACTTTAAACTAATAACAATTTTTCACAAAAAAGGGATGAAAATACTTAAAATTAAATTTATAGAATTAAAAGGTAAAGTATGTACTTTCAACAAAAATCACAGGACTTACTGTTAGTAAACACAGTGATGCCATTAATGTTGTAGTTCTTCTCCAGGATTATTCTAAGTCTCATCACTTCGTCAGAATTAGTCAACAGCGTGCAGTCATCTCTTCTTCCATTAACTGTTTCTTCTCCATAGTTTCTCCCATATATTCTTGCTTTTGTTTTCTGTTTTAAGCCCACATTTTCTGTATGAATAAAAAGGCTATCAAGGCAGGAAACTTTTAAGATTGAAGGCTGTTGAAATAATCCAGGGCATTTTGATGCTGTTATTCTTATCAATTTCACAGCGTCAAAATGAGGTAATTGTATCTGGTATGACAAAACTTTGACTGGTCCGACATAACATTTGACTCTGTCAGACCAAATGTCTGACAGTGATTTACAAATTTTGACAAGCCTAGTATCCAAGCATGTTTCCTAATTTGCATCCTTTAATACTTAGGAATGACTTTCTCTAAAGACTTTAACCTACAGATGTATACTCTAAAAACTTTAACCTGGTCATTCTTACTGTAATGAATGAATGCGGCATTTGAAATCTTATTGATACAGTGAAACATACTGGGTGCATTCTAATATCCATGCATCCATCATTAAAATATACAGTATATAATTACCCAGAAAGAGAGTTTCTTTTACATGATAAAATCACTGATAGTTTGCAGTTTCTTCCCTCAAAATTGTGTAAAATGAAAGGACAAAATGTATGGTTGGCATGGGAGTCAAACCTGGGACCCCTGCATCAGTCAGGTGTTCTACTGAATGAGCTACTCAGGCCAATATCCACAACCCAAACCATCACAACTGGAAGTGAATGTTTGTGTGAAATTCTTTTTGAATTTTAAACTTTCGCACTTACTGAAACTTCATTGGGTGAGACTAGGCATAAGGTTATACAAGCCTTATTCAACAATATTTGATTACTTACTCATTTGACAGTTTGGTCCGTGCCACCCTTCCATACATCGTGTGCAGGACCCGGTCTCTCTATCACAGGCTGTTTTACAATGGCACTCATGACACTGTACTCCAAATGTATTGACTGGACATTCTACAAAACAAAGTTATATAATGTATTCACTGGACATTCTACAAAAGTATCCAAATGTATTCAATGGAAATTCTATAAAACAAAGTTATATACAATGTATTCACTGGACATTCTACAAACAAAGTTATCCAAATGTATTCACTGGACATTCTATAAATCAAAGTAAATGGATAAACTACAAAACAAAATTCTCCAACACTATCAACTGGACATTCTACGCAACAACTTTTGACTTTTGTACAGGTATATAGTTACTTAGGAATAAATCTACTCCCAAAACTTTTATAGTGTTTACTCCAGGTTCACTTTAGATTTTGATGGAGAACTTTGAGGGATCAGATTTCGAGCCATAGAGAGTCACCTATATATGCATTATTTTCAGAAGAGTTTAAGTTTGAATACTATCACTACCGTCACTGCTCCAAGGTGCTACTTTTTGTGCATGCTCAGCTGATAAATAATACAATAAAGAAAGAAGTTTGATAAATAGTTAAATCAAGCTGATCTAAACAGTGCTAAATAGCTTAATAAAGCAATATATAGAAACAATAGTCAAGCTATATCAGTATATCAGCTAGATTGTAATTTTGAGGGAACTGCACATTATTGTCATTTGTGCTGCGATCGGGTGCCGAATATGATACAATAATACACTTCTTTAAATCGCTTTCTTAGAGCTTTTTCGATGACTTGATAAAATTTTACCAGATGATATTGCAGCAAGATCTGGAGCTGGGTCGGACTTGTTTGTACCGGTATGTTCTCACATTGATGAAGAAATCAGGATTTTTCTCATCGCTGCTTTCAATTAACAGATTCATATGTACCACAAATTAATCTGGTAAAGTACGGAAATCAAAATACTACATAAACAAGTCAGAACAACTAACGAATGAAATACCCTTTTGAAATTCAACCCAAAAATGACGTTTTCCCGCGGAGCTACGACTTCCGGCTTTACACTCAAAGCAGGTCGGTCATGAAATGATTCGTTTCACAATCACACCAAATGATGTGCCAGTAATACCAAAGATTTGTATTTTAGCTAACGTATCCAGTTATTTATTTTTACAAACAGCAGCCCTATTTGTTTTATCTTTATAGAAAAAATTCATTTATTGGAAATATTATATGTTCGTAATGTAACTAGGCCGGCCTATTATATTGTGGAAAAGGGTTGGAGAATAATGCCTCTTAGAAGCTGTGTACACCAGCAAACCCAAACCAACCCCTTCCCTGGGATACATGACGCAGTCGTATCGTTTCCTCCTTAATATCAGAGACATATAATAGAGGGATGTCTCTGTTAATATGTATATCTATGCACATTGGTACACACGATGCTAAATTAATGTAAATTTAAAATAAATAGTTCCCTTAGTACTAGTAAATATATTTATTTAGCCTAAAGTATATTTTGTAAAGTTGATTTTATATATACATGCATAGTTCAGTTCTTTCTTTATCTACTACTAGTATTTCGTTATAATTATTAGGTATGTAAGACTGTATAAGCGCCTGTGAGTAAATATGCTTTTAAAGATTTTTTTCTTTAAAAAAATGGCTCGTTCATTTTCTTATTTTTAAGCATGTTATGATACTGCGCAACAATGTAAATTCATATTAAAAAGAAAAACCCATGCAGAAACGACTTTTAATTTTTATTAATAATACATATAATTACTCAAGTACTTTTACCTCTGTCAATAGTAAAATAAAAATAATGATTGTTCCCTTATTAATTTTGTGACTCTGTATAGACAGGTATACGATCTGGAATTAAGAATTTGATCGAAAATATAAATAAGCTTACCGTTTTGGGAATGATCCACATCTGTAAGACACAGCACATACTGTACACAAGACAACCAGAATCACTAATTGTAAAGAATTCATACTCTCCACCCTCAAGTAATCCACTCAAACAGCATCCGGGAAATCAAAAATAAATTAATTATCCAAATTAAAAGTATAAATCACATCGTTCCTGGGTGCCGGTATGATCCTATAGTCTTTTTTATATGGCTATCTTTTCTGGCTTTTGATGAAGGATCAGGAAATCTTAAACGGAAGACGAGTTATCTTAAACACGAATAACCAGGATGTTAAAATGGACATAAGAATGGGTAACTCTTCTCTCTCTCTCTCTCTCTCTCTCTCTCTCTCTAGTGATAAACGGGGATTATCAGAGGTGCATTAGTTTCAATAATTATTTGCAAAGTCCTTACACATCACTGAATGACTACTTTTCGAAATGTCTTTTCAGGCAACATAAAAAAGAATAAGATGGAGCGAGTTTTTTTTGGAGTAAGTGAAGTTTACACATCCCCCTATAATCTCTTTGAGTACTTTTGTCTGTCGGGTGTGTCCTTTACCAGGAAGAAATTTACAACAATATAGTACAAAGATGCTCTTAAGTGGGCACGAGTTCGTCAAGAGTTCACTTAAAACAGCACAGATGCGTAAGCTAGAGGGTATCTGCTAAACATGAACTAAAGAAGTATAGAATTTACTTCTTCGTACAAGTAATTATCCTTGTATAATATAAATCAGACCATTCATTTTACTCATACATGTATTTGAATTACCTTTGTTAGAGTCATGATGATACCAAAACGGTTCAGTTGCTTAAAACAGTAAAAGACAAAATGAATATTCAACTTGCAGTTGTATGTATAGGTCAAGAGAATAGGAACATACGTATATGCAGAGTGGAAAATATAAATGATATTACTTGCTTTAGTATTTATAATTGATAAGAATTGCAACGAAATTTATACAAAAATCACACAACCCTGGAAAAATTTTTACAATAAATAAATAAATAGATAAAAACAGATGGATGTAGGTGGTCAACTCGTCACTGAAGATAATCCATAACGTAAACATATATCTGTGTTATATACCGGAGACTATATGACCAGTCCACAAGGGGAACCTGTCTCTGACTAATTATTTAATTACATTACACTGACATGCGTTTAAGGACGTGGCGTAGTCCCGGTCATTGTTTTATGTAACAACACTTAGACTAGATTAATACATGTACTGATCGACTAAATCAAAGAAGGAGATGGGTGAACAAGGCATGCAGAATGCCCTTAGCTTGAAGGAGATGGGTGAACAAAGTGTGCAGAATGCCCATGGCTTCAGATATATAAAAAAAATCACATTCAATTTTTGAATTGAGTATAAATTTTCTTTACAATTATCACTTTTTATGCGCAATAAATATACAGATTTTACAATGGGTGGCACTGTAGCTATCTGGTCTGTCAATTCATTTTTTCGGAGAGCTACAGTTCTGCAGCTATACAGTTATACGATATTTATTACAATGAAGTACATTGCAATTTATCCATTTTCACGACAATACTCTTTTTCCCACAGTGAAAGAAAGTTGTACCAAAACTTCCTTCCCTTCGCTTGGATAGAGAGAGTGAATACTCAGTAAACCATATATTATATTTCCCACTCTGTTACTATAGTGTGAAGGCTGTTTATATACATGTATCTACTAAATGATCATATGTGCTTCTCACTTGTAAAAAAAAATCATATCCCGCTACAAATCATTGAATATCCTATTATTCTAAGGATCTTTTTATAATCTATACGGAGCCCTGTCAAATCTCCTTTATCTTCCTAATTCAGTAATTGTAACAAGTTCCTGTATTGTTTCCTGTATTTGGACACAATCCTTAATTCTATAACCAGCTGAAAAAAATGCGACGGAAAACAGCAGGAACCGATACCGGAGCCTGGATTCTAGACAGGTGCTCAATCAACTGAACCCTATAGACAGGTGATAAATAGCTGAACTCAAGATAGGTGTCCCAGTAACTGAACTCGACAGGTGCTCAATCAGCTGAAGTGTAGACATGCATGTGCTCAATCGGCTGAAATCTAGACAGGTGCTCCACTAACTGAACTCGGTAGGTGCTCAATCAGCTGGATTCTAGACAGGTGTTCAATCAACTGAACTCTAGGCAGGTGCTTCACTAACTGAACTTTAGACATGTGCTCAACAAGCTGAACTCTAGACAGGTGCTTCGTTAACTGAACTGTAGACAGGTGCTTCATTAACTAAACTCTAGACAGGTGCTCCACTATGATTGAACTCTATAGACTGGTGCTCCACTATAACTAAACTCTAGACAGGTGCTCCACTTTAAAAAATAACTGATCTCTAGACAAGTGCTCCACTATAACTGAATTCTAGACAGGTGCTCAAAAAGCTGAACTATGTACAGGTGCTCCACTATAACTGAACTATAGACAAGTGCTCCACTATAACTGAACTATAGACAGGTGCTCAAAAAGCTGAACTATGTACAGGTGCTCCACTATAACTGAACTATAGACAAGTGCTCCAATATAACTGAACTCTAGACAGGTGCTCAAAAAGCTGAACTATGTACAGGTGCTCCACTATAACTGAACTATAGACAGGTGCTCCACTATAACTGAACTGTAGACGGGTGCTTCACTATAACTGAACTCTAGACAGGTGCTCAATAAGCTCAACTCTAGTCAGGTCCTCCACTAACACTAAACTCTAGACAGGTGCTCAAACAGCTGAACTCTAGACAGGTGCTTCAGTGTAACTGAACTCAACCAACTACATGAACTCTAGATCTTTGTTCTGTTCTAATTGAACTCTTTCCATAAGCTTCTCTAACTGAACTGTAGACAGGAGTACCACTAACTGAACTCTAGACAGGCGCTACACTAACCAAACTCCAGTTAGATACTCTGTGACTATGAACAGAAGTTCATTTTCTTCTCGTTTTACTAAAATCCAGACATGCAGGTGCCCTAGTAGCTGAATCAAATCAACTGCTCTACTAATAATCTCAGAGATACGAAAGCCGGATAGGCTCATTTCTGAGAAGATAAAAAAAAATTAACTCGTTATAACGAGTTAATTATCTCGTTATAACGAGTTAGTATCTCGTTATAACGAGTTAATTATCTCGTTATAACGACTTAGTTATCTCGTTATAACGAGTTAGTTATCTCGTTATAACGAGTTAATTATCTCGTTATAACGACTTAGTTATCTCGTTATAACGAGTTAGTTATCTCGTAATAACGAGTTAATTATCTCGTTATAACGAGAAAATTAACTCGTTATAACGAGAAAATTTTCTCGTTATAACGAGTTAATTTTTCTCGTTATAACGAGTTCATTTTCTCGTTATAACGAGTTAAAAACTCTAAAGTTGATATATGTAAGTGATAGGAAGTATTGCACATAAAATCGAGTCGATCAAGTTTGTTTAAAGTGTGTATGATAAATATTTCATTGAAAAACAGCAAACAGGTTTTTTTTCCAGGGTTTGTGTCTGTGATTGTAGTTCGTTTAATTATAAACGATGCAGTTGATTTGTATTGTTTTACTAAAAAAAACCAAAGACAAATACGTGTACGTGTATACGGAACCTTATGACTGCCTCGTGATGTTGTGTTATGAGTGGACAGTAGCCCCCGAATTTTACGCGGGCCCAATACCTAATTGCTGATGTCTCCATACCCCCCTTCTTCAAAACATTTCTGACTCTAAAAATAATATATATCACACTGTAAGTGTATATAAGATATGTTGCGTAACTAACGCCTGCCTTAGCTTGCCATTATAATGCATTAATTAAGAAATTAGACATTGATTATGGAAGCTATAAGGTCATCCAAAAGTTAAACATATATATATATATATATATATATATATATATATATATATATATATATATATATATATATATATATATATATATATATATATATATAATATATAGTGTGTTTTATCGGAGAAAGTTGTTATACTTAAATTGCAAAACTTTGAAGCAAGTACATTTGGCCATATATTTTTGATAGTGTGTACTTAGAGATGTTCACGTATAAATGTGTAAATGTGTTCGATTAAAAGATTGCTATGTTTATCAAATTGTGATTATTGACAGCAAGATACTTGTAGTTCGAACAGGATTAATATTATTAAAACCATATTGCAAATTATATTTGCATCTCTTCATCAATTTTAAAGTTAAGTACGACTGATAATTATCAACTAAACTTCAATGGCATTAAAACTACAGCTATTTTTAATTCCTATATTGCTATTAATTTGGAAATAAAAGGGCAACTTAATATTTCGTTATAACGAGATAATTAACTCGTTATAACGAGAAAACTAATTCGTTATAACGACATAACTAACTCGTTATAACGAGATAACTAAGTCGTTATAACGAGATCATTAACTCGTTATAACGAGATAATTAATTCGTTATGACGAGATAACTAACTCGTTATAACGAGATAACTATCTTGTTATAACGAGATAATTAACTCGTTGTAACGAGAAAACTAAGTCGTTATAACGAGATAACTAAGTCGTTATAACGAGATCATTAATTCGTTATAACGAGATCATTAATTCGTTATAACGAGATAACTAACTCGTTATAACGAGATCATTAACTCGTTATAACGAGATAACTAACTCGTTATAACGAGGTCATTAACTCGTTATAACGAGATAATTAATTCGTTATAACGAGATACTAACTCGTTATAACGAGATAAGTAAGTCGTTATAACGAGATAAAACTAAGTCGTTATAACGACATAATTAACTCGTTATAACGAGATAATTAACTCGTTATAACGAGATACTAAGTCGTTATAACGAGATAACTAAGTCGTTATAACGAGATAATTAACTCGAGTTAAATATTTTTTTTATCTTTTCAGAAATGAGCATATCCGGCTTTCAGAGACATGTCGTAGAGACACCAAAATTTTTTTTAGTCCTTACGACATATCGCTTAGATTACTCTACTAACTGAACTCTAGACAAATGTTCAACCAACTGAACTCTGGATTTTTATTGTAAATATGTAATTTCACGTTGGTGGAATTTCAGAGACATATAAAGACTCAATTATCTCAATTATTAGGGGATGTTAGTTTTGTTTGTATGTTTTGTTGTTTCTTTTTTTAAAAACGAAAAACAATTATAATCTTACACCCCTCCTTTTTTAGACGATGCTTTTATGAAACAATTTATGAACGAGTTACTTAGAAAATTCATGGCTGCTCCTCCAAAACCATGGGAAAGAGCAGGGATAAACTATCAGAATTCTGGGAGTTTGCCTGTAAATGAAATGTCAGGGTATGTACATCTTGACATAACATACGAGTCTGAAATGTTTATTAGTAGAAGAGATTTATAAGAATAGATATTTTACTAGAAACATTACGCAAGATATCGTACAAACGTGCGTCACCAACTGGCGACTCAGTCACTGATCAAAGTGTATAGGGCCTATCGATACTTTATCAATGCAATCAAGAAAAAAATCTTATACATTTGTTTAAACATCATATATTCATTTTCATATTGTAATTTATAGACTTCTCTTTTACTCAGCGGTAAGAAGAGGAAATTCGATCTGAAGCGTTCTAGAATTAGACCCCATGTTGATAACGTTACAGTTATCCACTTTCACTTTTAAGACATCAACAAGGCTTCTAGCTATTGTAGAATTTTTATTTCAAGAACTGTAAAGAAGTTTTAACTGTAATAAGGATTAAATATTCTGGTTCGTTCAAGCACCAAGCCATCATGGGCATTGCTAGTAAGAATAATCTGTGTCTCGGGACAAGCCCTCACCACAGTTAGAATACCACCCATATACTCGCAATGTAGCAAGAAATTGAAGAATGGCTCCAAAACGAATTTGACGAATACAAAAGGATTTACACAAGAAATAACTTCAAAATCAATTATAACAAACCTTTCGGGATTGCATATGCCTTTAAACCTAAAATATAATCCAAATAAAGATGAAAATCTAACTAATTTCTCAACATTTTCTTCTCGCTTTAATTTTACACGCCATGTTTGCATTCGTAACTCACTGGATTGTTTCGTAGTTAATGCACTGAGTACAAGTTATCACCCATTTTATCTTGCTAGTACATTGTAAATACAGAAAACGAATTCTATCGTTAAACCGGATCAGTAGGACATTTATCATTTTAACGATAGAACATTCTATCTAGGGCACTGCAAGCCATCCTTCCTTTTCAGTAAATTTGACATTCTGACAAATGTTCTTGATGCATTTCCTATGTACAAAATGTTAATATAGATTTATTAACATAAGTTTTACCATATTTAAAGAAATATTTATGTATTACAAACATCATTATAATACCTAATTTCCTTTGACATGTTGTTATTTGGGCTTAAAGAGGCTGGGTGGTCGTGGCCATTTTTAGACTATTTTGATCTCCTTTAGAAGAAGAGCTCCATATAAAGATATAATAAGATGATCAAATTTTAAAATTAAAATTTATTAAATTTTTCTTTGTGAAATTATAGTTGACAGCTTAAGATATCATATCCCAAGATTTAAGTTATATCTGGTAGTTAATAAAAAAAATAATTTTTGACAACCTAGCCTCCTTAAATTGCAAACAGAATTGCAGTAAGTAAGTGGGAATGTATGAAAGCATTTGTTTTGGGCTTACTTTACTACAACGATACTTTTTCTTGCATTACAAAATATGCATTTGTTATGTAGTTTTCCAGCAGACATAAAAGGAAGTGGTATACTAGATCTGCTGTGGAATTATCTGGTGTTATTACCTCACAATGCTAAGGGTCCTGAGTCAAAAGGTTCCTTTTGGACCACTGGCAATATTCATCGGATATCTTAGGGCTTGCTTCTCTCATTGAGAAACTCCAATCAAAGTAAAGCTGTCATAAATAGATAGATACAGTAAAACTCATTTAGTACGAACTCAGATGTAGCAAATTTATGGATATAGCTAAGTTTTTCTTGGTCCCCTACAAAATTCTTAACAAATCTTTGTAAAATTTTACAGTTATAACAAAGTATGATATAACGAATTTACGTATATAGCAAACTGATTTTGAGTCCCGTTGAGGTTAAATATAATGAATTTTACATCTTTTATAACGAACGTTCAAAGAACTCAAAATTTGATAGATTGAACTGACTTTATTTTATTTTAGCATTTGTATAAAAAATTCAATTCATAATAAAACTTTGGTTATCGAAGGTATGTTTTATAATATTTGCTTCCCTAAACATATTTGGTAGTAATACTTGAAGGAAAAACATGCATATAGTGAATTCACTATATATGGTTCGCTATAACCGAGTTTTACTGTAATGTTAACAGAAAGGATTCAGTTGATACCTCAAGTGCATGTGATATAAGTTGTTGATGATTTTTAATGGCAAGAAAGAAAAAAATGCAATTTATAATTTTTCCTAAAGATGTCACTACAGTCAGCCCATGAACAATAGAATAAAATTTCCTAGGGGTCCAATGGCAACATGTTGACTCGGATAACTGGCATTTCAAGGATGTCAGTGTCTCAAACACTTGGATAACCATGTCCTTTCATACATGTATAAATTCACACAGATGTTGGTGTAATTTTTTCTCTTTAACAGACCACCTATAGGAACTACAGATGGTGTGCCCCCATGTTGTGCCCCAAATGCTGGAGGAGGGGGAAGAGCCCCACCCCCTTTACCCTCACGTCCAGCACAGAGCACTATGGGAAGCCGGTTTTCTTCACCTTACGGTGGCTATAGTGGCATGTCTCCCTACAGTAGCTTTGGTATGAGTGGATACGGGGGATACAGTCCCTACAGTAGCTATGGATCGTCCTATGGGTATGGATACGGGGGTCTAGGAGGATACAATAGAATGGGGTATGGGGATGACTATGGACAAAATAACCTAGCCAGACTGGCAGAGGAGAGTTCCAGGCCTGCGTTCCAGTCTATTGAGAGCATTGTCAATGCCTTCACCTCGGTCAGCATGATGCTGGATTCCACCTTCCAGGCCATGTACAACTCATTCCGAGCTGTCGTCGGAGTGGCCGACAATTTCACTCGCCTGAAATCCCAGATTGGCCAAGTGCTGTCAGCTTTTGCCGTATTTCGGTTCTTGAAGTATTTATATCGCAAGTTATTGGTGCTGCTAAGATTGCGACCTCAAGGATATGCAGAAGAGGCCTGGGCTAAAGCGTCTGATGTGTTGAGTCAGCTTCCTGATGAGGGAGGGGCCCCCAAAAAGAGCACCTGGCCCATCATGCTGTTCTTCGGAGTCATTATGGGGGGACCGTGGCTCATCTGGAGGATGATTTCCAGCTTAAGTGGGTCCTCTGGTAAGTGTACATGATCTCCATTTAATATGTTTAAAAAAGCTCTGTGATATTCTAGATTTAATGGTGTGTAATGTACAATATTCTTTATTTATCCTTGTGTAATGTATGGAAAAAAGAAGCTGTACGGTCCATTACAAAAACCTGTAAATTGATATTATTACATAGACAATGTTCCATTATACATATATCAGCGATGTAATGTACAGTGCAATATTCCATTATATGGCTGTGGAAAAATGTTTTACATTAAGTCTAGATAATGAAAAAGTATTATTTTGTTGTAAGGACATCAGGTTGCACTCTTTTTTCCCTCTATGAGTTATAAAACTTGTAAGAATGAGTTATATGTTTGCTTTGAGATAGCCACAGGTTTTGAACAGGTCCCAAGACCATAAACTGAGAATAGACTTAAGTCAAAATTTCAAATCAGTGTAACTTTTAAAATAAATTTCAAAATGAAACAAAATTTTCAAGATATATTTGTATTCAAATATCTAACAAACTTGAAAGAATTTGGCATGTTTGTTTAAAGCTAATTGAGGCATTAAAAATCTAAATTTTGACTTAAGTCTGTTCTCGGTTTATGGTCTTGGAGCCAGGTCTCAGATTTTTAGGTCACCTGAGTAACTCAGGTGACCTATTGTTATCCGTTTTCGTCTGTCGTCGTCCGTCGTGCGTTGTGTGTCGTGTGTTAACATTTGAACATTTTCAGCTTCTTCTCTAAAACCACTGAACCAATTTCAACCAAATTTGGTATACAGCATCTATGGGTGAAGGGGAACAGAAATTGTGAATTTCATGGTCCCTGCCCCCCTGGGGCCTGAGGGGTGGAGCCAAAACCACTAAAATTAATGAAATCTTTAAAAATCTTCTTCTTTACTCCTGGACATCAAGCAGGCAAACTGTTGGCATGAATGTAATGAGCATTGAGTCCTCTACCAAAATTGTGAAATTCATGGCCCCAGGGTCAGGGGTTCTAGTGCTAGGGCGGGGCTCTATAGATCATATAGTGAAAATGCATTATTTCTTTGAAAGTCTTCTTCTCTGCTCCTGGGTATTAAATAAACTAACTAAGCACATAGTTATGATGAGCAAGAGTGCCTCTTCCAGATTTGTGAATTTTATGGCCCCAGGGTCAGGGGTTCTAGTGTTAGGGCGGGGCTCTATTGATTATATAGTGAAAATGCATTATTTCTTTGAAAATCTTCTTCTCTGCTCCTGGATATCAAATAAACTAACTAAGCACATAGTTATGATGAGCAAGAGTGCCTCTTCCAGATTTTTGAAATTCATGGCCCCAGGGTCAAGGGTTCTAGTGCTAGGGCGGGGCTCTATAGATTATATAATGAAAATGCATTATTTCTTTGAAAATCTTCTTTTCTGCTTCTGGGTATTAATAAACTAACTAAGCACATAGTTATGATGAGCAAGAGTGCTTCTTCCAGATTTGTGAATTTTATGGCCCCAGGGTCAGGGGTTCTAGTGCTAGGGCGGGGCTCTATAGATTATATATTGAAAATGCATTATTTCTTTGAAAATCTTCTTCTCTTTCTTAAATAAACTAACTAAGCACATAGTTATGATGAGCAAGAGTGCCTCTTCCAGATTTGTGAATTTTATGGCCCCAGGGTCAGGGGTTCTGGTGTTAGGGCGGGGCTCTATTGATTATATAGTGAAAATGCATTATTTCTTTGAAAATCTTCTTCTCTGCTCCTGGGTATTAAATAAACTAACTAAGCACATAGTTATGATGAGCAAGAGTGCCTCTTCCAGATTTTTGAAATTCATGGCCCCAGGGTCAGGGGTTCTAGTGCTAGGGCGGGGCTCTATAGATTATATAATGAAAATGCATTATTTCTTTGAAAATCTTCTTTTCTGCTTCTGGGTATTAATAAACTAACTAAGCACATAGTTATGATGAGCAAGAGTGCTTCTTCCAGATTTGTGAATTTTATGGCCCCAGGGTCAGGGGTTCTAGTGCTAGGGCGGGGCTCTATAGATTATATATTGAAAATGCATTATTTCTTTGAAAATCTTCTTCTCTTTCTTAAATAAACTAACTAAGCACATAGTTATGATGAGCAAGAGTGCCTCTTCCAGATTTGTGAATTTTATGGCCCCAGGGTCAGGGTTCTGGTAGTAGGGCAGGGCTCTTTTGATTATATAGTGAAAATGCATTTATTCTTTGAAAATCTTCTACTCTGCTTCTGGGTATTAAATCAACTAACTAAAGCACATAGTTATGATAAGCAAGAGTGCCTCTTCCAAAAATTGTGAATTTTATGGTCCCAGGGTCAGGGGTTCTGGTGTTAGGGCGGGGCTCTATTGATTATATAGTAAAAATACATTAATTCTTTGAAAATATTTTCTTTTGCTTCTGGGTTTTATGCCAATGATCCAAGTATATATATATTTATGATGAAGAAAGTTGCATCTAGCAAAGTGGTTTTTTTATGCCCCCAGGGTCAAGGGGGGGGGGGGGGGGTTACATAGTCTGAAAATAAATTAATGCTTTGAAATCTGCCCTTTGCTATTAATCAACCATTTTATGATTACATTTGCAAAATTTTGAAATATGTGGCCCATGGGTCAGTGGGTGAGGTGCACAACTGGTTATAAAGTGGAAGTGCATTTTCTCTTTGTTACTCTGATCTACCTCTGGGTATTAAGTAAATAGAGTAAGCATGCTAAGTTAATAATTATGATAAGCAATGGTGCCTCTTTCAAAATTGTAAATTGTGAATTTCATGGCCTCCGGTTTAAAACACGAACCAAATATAATTGTTTGAAAGTTGTTACACAATACTCAGGTGACCTATAAGGCCCATGGGCCTCTTGTTCAGAGTACCATTCACAATATATTTTATAGAAATAAAATACATCAAATGAGATGTAATTTATTATTTTTTGGTTCTTGGAATACACTTTCAGATGGATATTAGATTAATTTCTTTCACTTTAACTGATCCACTGGTACTTCTATGATATTTATAGTAAAATCCTGGGCTTCTGGTGAAGATGACCACTTTGTAGCCAGAGCAGAGTTTGATTTTAATGGAAGTGGTGAGGAGGAACTTTCCTTTAGAGCAGGACAACTCATCAAAGTAGCCCCAAAAGGTAAGGATCAAAGTAGGCTTAAAATGAAACAAAAGGTAAACGTGAAAGTAGCCTCAAAATGTAACAAAAGGTAAACATGAAAGTAGCCTCAAAATGTAACTAAAGGAAAACAAAATACATGATTTAGCTTCTAAAGGTTCAGCAAAATTGGATTTCTGGATTACTTCTAGGTAGTTCTGGGTAACATCTGGATCTTAATGTTTGTCCATTTTGTAAAAGTATTGTGTTTAAATAGTGGTAACTATGAGTTAATTTGCCATGTTCATACAGGTTAATAAAGTGTTAAAGAAGAAATAATGAAGAAAGTTAGTATATACAGTATGTTTTTTTTCTTGATGAGGAAGTGTATAAACATGTATCTTAATTTTCAGAAATTCAGCCAAGAATGAGGGGCTGGCTGTTGGCATCAGTAGATGGACAGAAAGTGGGCATCATTCCCGCAAATTATGTCAAAGTGCTGGGGAAGAAGAGGGGTACAAAACATCAAACACAGTCCGTCCCCTCAAACACAGGTGTCCCTCCAGCCACAGCAGTGACCAGTGCCTCCACCCCCGATCTGTTGTCAGGGACAAGTACCTGTTGTAAAAAGACAGGTGCTCAGTCATCCAATTCAGAAAATGTACCGATAAAACCAGCCGCAAGTGCTCCATGCCTGGACAGTGTTAATTCTTTAGAAGTGGAAAACAATTCTTCATTTTCTAATTTAGAGGATGCTTTCTCAAATGATTCAAATTCAGGAAGCAAATCCAATAGTGAACCAGAAAATATGAATGCCAAGGATATTTTGGAAGCCACGGACAATAACTTGATAAATTGAAATGTTACATTTTCATTTTAATTTTAGATTAATGATAAGTGATGGTGATAATTTTATATTGTTTGAATTTAAATTATGCTACAGATAATTTTGTTCAATGTACTATTTATATATGAGCAAAGTATATTTTGATTGTACTTGTGTCATAAAATCTACAATGTTTACAAATATATGATGTATACAAATAAAACAAATAGATTTAAACCCAGTGGAAAGGAGAAAAAGACTGATTAAGATACCCAAGGGAAAACACTGAGAGATTAAGGGGTTGTGACTTCCAAAATCACCTCAACTTACCTTCATTGTTCTGGCCTAATTGATTTGATTTTTCATTGCTCCAGATACAAAACTTTACCTGTATAAGTGTTTGTATTTAGTCATAAAGTTTATAGTGTTATAACTCCAGAAAATTGATGTCCATAATTCTGATCTCTTGTTAGTAGACTGTAGGAATCGCCAAATACATGTACATGTACAATAAACCAGTTGTGTATAACTGTACAAAAGTTTGTTTATATGAGCAACAAGAAAAACCATAATGTTGGAATCCAACATGAATTTTATGTAAATCTGTTTAGATGCAGTGATTTCCACTTAATATGACATTGCTTGTTAAAATTATATATATTAAATTAAATATTTCGGTATGTAAGTCTTTATCATAATACTTATAAAAGTAGGAGAGGCTGAGGACTAAAGTAAAGGGTTTCAGTGCACTCTGACATTGATACTCATAATAATGTGATCCTTTCATGTGCCTGTCTTATTTGCCCGTCTTAAGATCAGATGTACTATGGCATGGCATTCTTGTCTGTCTATCTGTCTGTTCAAGCTATCCAAGTTAAACTCTAAGGTTAAAGGATCAAAACTGTTGGTACCCAAAGGAAGGTCTTATCATAAGGAATACACACGTGAAATATGAATGGAATTGTTTTTTTAGTGGGTCAAACTCAAAGGTCAAGGTCAAAATTGTTGGTATGCCAAGAAAGGTCTTGTCACAAGGAATGCACCTGTGAAACACGAAAGTCCTAGCTCTAAACGGTCCAAAGCTTATGGTTAAGGTTATTTTTTTTTTAAATCAAGCCAAACTCTGAGATCAAAGTCAAATATTTTAATACTCAATGAAAGGTCTTGTCACAATGAATACACATATCATACTAATAAGTATTGTTATCTAAAGCTGGATTCAAGGAAATCTTATTTCTCTAAAGCTGTATTATTTTTTTTCCTTTTATAGGGTGCAAATGTCAACTGTTATAAGACCTTTTCTAAGACTTCTGAAAACCTTGAACCTTATACAGATGAATAAAATGAAAATTGTTGCATGAAAAAATTTAAAATAGGTAACAATGCTTATTAGTATGATATGAAATAAGAAGTGAAGGATAGCACCAACTATTCAAAATTTTATGTCTATGGTTAATGTTCGGAAATATTTGGTAAAATTTGGTCAAACTCAAAGGTCAAGGTCACGAGGTCAAATTTGGTGGTACCAAAAGAAAGGTCTTGTCACAAGGAATTGTGACAAGGCGAAGCCCGTTTTGCATAAATTATCCCATGTTTCCCACTTTCGTTGACGTCCCAAGCATACTATACTAACTACACAGTAATTTCTTATATTTCCAATTCATTGTGAAATAAAATATTGTAGATTTATATTTTAAAAATGTAGACATAGATTAAATAGGCCAAACCTGAGTGACTCAGGTGACCTAAAATCTGTATGTTCTTAAAATTCTTGACTGTAATACTTTTACATCTGTTAGAATTTTGTAACTTTAAAACAATTTTTATGCCCCAGTATTAATCGAAGATTAGAGGGTATATAGTTTTTGCGACCCCTTCAGTCTGTTTGTCAGAAAAAAGTTTAACCTTGCCCATAACTTTGAGAGGTGGGACTATGGATTTCATATTTTACAGGTGAATTCCTTGTGACAAGACCTTTCTTTTGGTACACCAAGTTTGACCTCGTGACCTTGACCTTTGAGTTTGACCAAATTTTACCAAATATTTCCGAACATTAACCATAGACATTATTTTTGAATAGTTGGTGCTATCCTTCACTTCTTATCACTTCTTATTTCATATCATACTAATAAGCATTGTTATCTATTTTAAATTTTTTCATGCAACAATTTTCATTTTATTCATCTTTATAAGATTCAAGGTTTTTGGAAGTCTTAGAAAAGGTCTTATAAAGTTGACATTTGTACCCTATAAAAGGAAAAAAAAAATAATACAGCTTTAGAGAAATAAGATTTCCTTGAATCCAGCCTTAGATAACAATGCTTATTAGTATGATATGAAATAAGAAGTGATTTGTGGTGTCTTGCAATAATAGCGAAAGCCTTTTACACGATGTAATATAGAATACATGACGGAAATACAAGACAAAAAATACATGTACCTGATACGTATACAAATCATTACAATTTCTGTGAATGCCAGGATACCTATCGTTCTTTAACCTAAAATATATTTGTAGTTAGAAAATGGATTGCTGATATTTCAATTCTCTTTTTGACTTTTTCTGCAAAAATATTGGAGATTTTACAATTTTCCCCATATATTATGATTAACTTTAGTCTTTAAATTTAACGAAATACTGTGGATAAATTTACATAACTTTGTGGATTCAGAGATACTTTTATGAGTAGTTTTGATTACTTAACTGCTAATTTTATAATACCTGAGGATCATCTTAAATAGCCGTGTTTGTATACATTTTTACATGTATATACGGCAATTTTCTATCTAAGGAATTTGCCAGGACATTAAGCTATAGCCGTTTTGCTGTAGTCTGTATGGTGAAAGTGTTTTAAAAAAGGGGGGTACACTAGAACTTAATTTTTGAGTTACTACTGAATACGAGACTAATTGTTTCATTGATCCTGATCGTCCTATTTCTCTTGCTTTTGGACAACAAAGCTTCATCTATCAGTTTATTTAATTCTCATTGGATCCTCTTTATGGTTGTATTATACTCAGGTGACCATTAGGACCCTTGGGCCTCCTGTTATTCATGATTTCATTATTTATAATTTAGTTTCTTGAAAAAAAAGTCTTAATCTATTATTTAAAAATTTAAAAAAAAATTCAAAGAATCAAAGATATTTATTACTTTCTTACTTAGTACTTGATAGGTTGTTCAAATTTCTATACGTTGAAAATTTAAGACAGGATCTTAAACATCTATCCTAAATTTCGAGATAGTATCAAAACACTACCTTTGATTTCAATTTTGTAGGGGGAATATGACCTTTCAGAGGAGGTCTTTTAGTTTTCATTGTCGCAGCATTACTATTTTCAGGTATTAATTAATTCCATGTAACATTCTGAGCAAGAGTTTATTTTTCTGAGATAATGGTTAACAACGTACATTGACATTCTACAAAAGTCCCTCCATATAATTGTCTGGATTCATAACTGCAGTTCGATGGGAATTTTCGCATTAAACAATGCTTGACAAATAATTAAATGAAAATATCGAAACAACCCGAGCTTTCAGAAATGACATTGACAGTGAAAGTAATCCCAGAGGCCCAGATTCATTTTCAAAAGCTTTAGTTTTAATGATTCCCAGAGATCCCCCAAACCTCGACTACCTGAGAGTATCAATATTACATAAAATCAAGAAAGGAGGAGGTTTCCATGGAAACTAATCAATATATCAGTGGTAAATGAGAACAGGTAAGGTTTTTTTTTTATTTTACAGAGCTGCCATTGGCTCGGAGTAAAGCAGGGAGACATGCCATCAGACATGATGAGTACAGGTATCGTCTGCCAGTGACGCAGAAAGTCATTCACAGCACGAGGGGTGAGCGCCAGAAGAAATCTTCTTCGAGCGGAAGTTCAGAAGGCCACGAATCAAATGAAACCTTTCTCAGACTTAATAACTACAGAATCAAGACAGAAAATCCCTTCATATCTTCTGTTCAATACTGTCCAAACTCTAGCATAGGTTGACTGATCGTTGACCAAGTGTTTTATACATATTAGCTGCGTGATGAAGACGTCACTCGGAGTCACAGATTTGTCCCTAATGCGCATTGTGTTTCAGAAAATATGGAAAAATCGTCCCAGGGACCAGTGAGATTCAACCAAACAGTCTGCCATTTGAGGAGCGTGTCTATGTGAACACTTCTATCTCACCATATTTTTTTTTCATCACCAAATTCTGAAATGACATGTCAAGTGCTTTTTGCAGCCATTGAGGATCGAGTTGCCTTTCGGGGAGGAATATTCCCTGCTCTTACGTTGAAAGCTAATGGTTTGTATAGCGGTGATCTTATTTTCATCTACAAACTAGGAGAGATAAATTTGTCTTTAAGCTGTAGGATCATCGGGAACTTCATTGCTTTAGATCCAAACGACTATTAGGAAAATAGCTTGTGTATGCCAAGACAACGGGATTTAAAGAAACGAATTTGGAATTTAAAGATACTTTTTTTAAAACCGTAGGCGAAGAGAAGAAACGAATTTGGAATTTAAAGATACTTTTTTTTTAAACCGTACGCGAAGATTCTACTGTATATTTTATAAGGCTGTCGAGTTGTTTTCAATTGAACGATTTACAATGGAATGTTTAAGTCTAAGTGATTAGCTGTTGGATTTTATTATCATTCTTGTGAACCACATTTCAATAAAGTTTCTACGGAATATGTAGCCAACTACACGGCGATGAAAAATCCGGAGAAGGCCCAGGCCATGCTTCTGGAGAATTTAAGGATTATCTCCGAACACAGGCGTCGTTCTCTAGCCGCTGACCACTACAGGTAAGGCAATTTTCCTTTCTGACCACTACAGCCTACAGGTAAGGCAATTTTCGTTTCTGACCACTACAGGTAAGGCAATTTTTGTTTCTGGCCACTAGGGTAAGGCAATATTCTTTTCTGACCACTACAGGTAAGGCGATTTCGTTTCTGACCACTACAGGTAAGGCAATCTTTGTTTCTGACCATTACAGGTAAGGCAATTTTCATTTCTGACCACTAGGGTAAGGCAATTTTCGTTTCTGACCACTACAGGTAAGACAGTTTTCGTTTCTGACCACTAGGGTGAGGTAATTTTCATTTCTGACCACTACAG